TCCATTGCTTTCATGAGAAATGAACATGAAATATTTACAAAGAAAGAGAGCCTTGGTCAAAAATGTTTGGGAACCACAGGCCTATTCCACTCCAAGTTCTGCCACACAGCTTACTCACAACCTGCACAAACACTGAAGACCTTGACAGTACACTGACCACACACAGGTCACCGGCACTTGACGCACAATTTGACAGTTTTGTTTTTATTGCTGTGCATTTTCCCTGTACACTGCCTTTGCTTCTCCTGAGGCTGCTCTACTACTGTTTGAAGGGGCAGTGGCACAGTCTCAGTTGCCTCTTTCATTTGCATGTGGTCACTGCGTAATTCCTTACACAACTGCAGAAGGAAGTCGCGCCTAGCAAGTTTGGCTTTTGTGCAGCTCCGGTAAAGAATGCATACATTGACGCCAGCCAGGTCCAACATGTTATAGAAGACGACGACTGCCCATCTGTGGGTGGTGGCTCTTGTGGAGTACTGTCTGATCATTTTGTCCAGGATATGCACTCCTATCTTGGTCTTGTTATAATAGTGCACTGTGTCTGGCTGTCACTTTCCACGTTCACCGTCTGGTGCATTGTGCTGAGGATGCACACATTTTTGTTCACCTTGCCCTGGTATATTGTAAGTATTGTCTTGTCACTCTTCATCACTTTGATGTCATGCAGTAGTGCTTTCTGATTCACAGAAGGTGGGAGTGAATGCCTGTTTTTGTTCACCAGGCTTGTGTTCCTTACTAGGAGTTTAGGAACAAGGGGGAGTGATGTAAAAAAGTTGTCTGTAGTGACGTTTCTCCCCTTGCCTAGATAAGGCTGCATCAGGTTCATCACTCTACACTTATTTTGTATCTTGGTTGCCTAGCAACGCCTATTGTTAATTTTGGAAAGTGTGTAAGAATGGAGGAATGTGAGGTGTTACTGTAAAGTGTTTTGAGCTGTGTATCTGACTGGATATATAAGTATATAAGTCTATTTACCGTTTTTGCATTAGGAGTAATGGAGGTCAAAATGACCTCATGGCGGTTCTAGGTAAAACCACTCTCTTTTCCTCTCTCTTTTATTCCAGAATCCCTGAAATGCATAAGATGATGTGTAACATACTTTTAGAAAAGGTGATTGACTTGGAGACATATGGTTTTTACTCAAAGTTACATACATTTTAATATGCAAGAGAGGTCAAAATGACGTCATGGCGGTTCTAGTGTTAAGATACAATCCAGTTAATACCCACAAATTGAACCACTGAAAGATTGTTAAAAGAGAGAATGTTAAGTCCATTCAGTCAGCAGCCTTGTCCTCCATGTTCCTATGCCTACAATAAGCATTGCTGCTCCATTGTTCGGTGTAAATGATGGTATCATGTTGGAGATCTGTTGCAGGTCTCAATCTAACAGGATTGGTCAACAAGTGGACTCTTACCACACAGCACTCAGAAGAGGCAGCCTTTTGTGCAATAAGCAGTGAAAGAGGAGGGGTTAATGGGTAGAAAGAAAGTGTTTCTGGTTGTAATTGGTCTGCTCTGCATGCAGACCACAGAAATATTGTAGCAAAGGCAGAGGCATTGCAGAGAAAGGAACAAATCAGCACAAATTATATGATTATTTTAAAAAAATTGTACCATATAGCATGAAATAAGTGCAAGGGTTTTTGTGAATTTGGAATTCTTATCATTCCGATCAGACCTGCGATCAGTTAGGCATAAGATCTGATGAGCTGTTTGAGCCCTCGTTCTTGTGTGCGCAAGAAAAATTCTTTGGTCTGGCAAGGTTGTTGTCTTGTGGCAGCTAATTTAGGCTAATAGCAGACTGGCTTGAAATTGTTGTATAGTTAACTGACACTGAGACATTTTTCTGAAAACATCAGCTCCTCTTCTTGTGGTACCGTTACACTACCTATCTATTTTTTATGTAAAGTATAAGAAGATGATTATTTATCTGCATGAAATCAATGGCTTGGCATGTTGCCCTCACTGAGACCATTACCCAGTTAACAGATGTTGTATAGAGTCATCACAGCTTATCCCTAAATGCGTCTGTGCTTATAAATGGCGTGGTCTTATAAAGACACAAATCAGCCCTGCCATGTTTTCCTCTTTTACTGCAGCCACTTCAGCTATGTCTGCTTTCTTAATCGACAGTCATACCATGACCCACATTTATACCCCAGTGCCTTTGGTTTTTTTTTTCTTAGCTGCATTCTTCAAGGTTGCAGATTTTGTTGTGCTGTGTAGTACTGGACAGCACGAAGCTCACATCTTTTGTGAAAGTGTAGCATTATAGATTGGTAGTCAATATCTTCATCTGTGAGTAAATGTAGAATCTCACTGCCATGAGGGACACGATAAAGTGAGATGTTAAGATTTTTTTTATAAATCAGTAGTCTAGATATCCTTTAGCCCACCTAGCCCATAATGCAGCATGCTCACATGGGTTTGCAGCTACAGTTTCTACATGATGTTTGATAGTGTCTGAAGTTAGAACTTGTGTGTAATCCAGTGGCGGGCCTTCAGTGGAGACTTAACCGACTTAATTCACCTCTTAATACCACCACTGTACGTCGCAATTATAGAAACCATCAATACAAAAACGCAATATAATAAAGTTTGGCATTACAGAGAGAGAGGTATTTCGCGTACTGAGGGTGAATACCATTTTTACTAAAGCAAGAAACCCAGTTAAGACAACTCCAAAACCTCTACACTACAACCGCAACTGTGATCTCTGCGTTTCAGTTCCATCATAAGCCCTTTTCTAGTTTTGTTCTGACCAACCAATCAGAGGACGGAAAAATGCTGACATCATTGTGGGCCAGCTAGCTGGCCCTGTGAGGCGAATTTGAAATCTGATTGGTTAAAGAAACAGTCCCATTGCTAATATAGTTTAAGGTACATGGGCCAGCACTTCTGATGCTGAAGGCCCTGGGCAGATTAGATTGACATGGCAACACATAGAGGCTGAAATCTGATTGGACAAAAAATCTAACATCCACATACACGTACTGGAAGCATTGCAGCCAAGAGAAATACTACGAAATGAAGAGAACAGACTGTTGGGAATAAATTAATACAGTTTCATGGTAGAAATATTAGAATTTCGGTTGTAAATGTAGGTCAGTGCTTCTAATAGTGTTTAGGCTAGCAGAGAAGGCCTTGCTGGCCCTGACGGCCCGCCACTGGTGTAATCATATGGACTGTTTTAAGGCAAAAAGATTACACGGGTTAGTCATGTGCTGTTGCTTCTAGCAATTTTCTAGCCTTGTGAAGGGTGGAGCTCATAAATTACAGGCCAAACATAGATCTTTTGTACTTAACTCTGTGTAACATGTTGTGGAAAGTGCAGAAATGATTCTTTTCAAATAAATGTGATTTGCTAAATGCACTATGCAAATAATTTTATGAATAATTTTTTCCACACATCTGTTTGGCATGTGTAATTCAAGTCTGCAATGATTTATTTGCCCTTTAAAGCTGATACAGATGAGAGCTGTCCATACTAGCAGAATCGGTTCATTTAATCAGTCATTATGCAAAGCAGTTTAGTTTTGTTGTGTCCCCGTATACAAACAGGTCCTGACTCTCTTAGAGTGATCAATTGAATTCAGTTCAATTCAATTTATTTGTATAGCTCCAATTCACAAGAACAATCATTTTGCACTATTATAAGGAAAACCCAACAAACCCCCCTTGAGCAAGCACTTGGTCACAGTGAGGAGGAAAAACTCACTTTAATCATACTGGTTTGTGACATTCATGCATTTCAGCTGTTTGTCTTCAGTTTTAGTGAGTTGCCATTACGTCTATCTTCTGTTCAGTACTCTGTAGATTTGAAATCAGTTCACTTGTATTCTCTCATTGATCTGATCAAGTTTAGGTTTGAAGCAAAAAACATGTTAACATGTTTCCTACAGGTAGACATAATAATGATACTCCCTCTGTATGCCATACCTCATCTAGAGGCTTTCAAAAATAATTTCCTAACCCACAGTGCACATACCATTTGCTTTCACAGGTTGTTGCAGGTAGTGCTCCAAACCCTGCATTGCTATATAATGAAAGTGCACTCTCTACTTGATGTTCAACTGAACAACTTTCTAGAATATTACTTGGCTATATATAGTAAGTTATAGTACTGGGTCTCATTGTTGTCACAGGAATGCTTTGCAGTATATTTGCACTCCAATGTGTACCATGGAGTACAACAACTGCATCATTCTGTATCAGTGCAAAGCTATTGTGCTCAGTTGTACTGTTATGCAGATGTTCAACACGCCTCCCACATGCTACATCTTAGTTTGCAAGCGCAGCTTTTCAGTACCTGTGTGAATTAATAATAGAATGTGTAACTTCAGTAAGCAACGTTTTATGATGCAGTTACAACTGTGCAGTGGTAACTGTAGTACTGTTACTGAACAAAGCATCACAGGATTTCAGTTAATTCACAGACAATATTCTCGCAAACAGGTAGAAAAATATTTAAAATAGCATTACCTAAAACAATAAATTATCTAATAATAAGCAATTAATGGATGTAGTTGCCTTTCCTCTTCTATTACAAAACAAACAGTTGTTCTTGTAAATTTTTTTTATTCATTCTTCAAACATGTTACCAATCAACATTCATGGCACTCTCAATGTGCACACACAGACACACACTCACACAAAGTGCAGACATTACACAATGACAATAATGTAGCACTGTCTATGAAAGATAGGCAACATGAACAGCAAAGGTGCTAAATATTGCACATTATGATCAGTTCAGGAAACTTAACTTTTCAGACCATTCAGTTTCGCTGGCAGATCCCAGGGTTTTGTAACCATTGTGACAAATGGTTACAAAACAGCTGAGAGAGTACACAAACTTTGCCTGTGGCTACGTTTACCAGTAATTGTCATGGGACTGATGTTTTATTTTCCTACCCTGACTGAGTGAAGGTAGATTGCAAGTTTGTGGAAAGAAACTAAAATGAGGTAACAGTTGATAATGGCCAGTTTCCATATATCTCCGAATGCAAAGCTCCATTTTCATAGTAAGGTTTGAGGCAAGTGCTATAAATCCATATTTGTAAGAATTCAATGTTATTTTAGCTGTGTAACTGACTCTTTAAACCAAGAAATAAAACTGTACAAATCAGAGTACACAATGCTTAGTTCAGCATGGCTGGTTTCATATTAGAGAAGTGTTCATGTTGTAGAGACCACGGCAATGATACAGCCTACTTAGCAACAGACTGTGAATGTCACAACCCTGATGCTGAAGAAATCCTTTTGTCTCACCACTCTCAAAGGAAAAAAAGTGTTCATTTTACCCTTAGGCCACAACTGAGTATAGTAGATTGTACCATCATAAAACATGAACACAAGTAAACATATTGAACCTGGAAAGCTAAATAATTTGGAGGTATCTGAATGAACCTCTGGTTTATTACCATGCAATGAGCAATAATGTGCGAGTTATTGCTTGGAAGAAGCCATTTATCAGGCCAGCTTGGATATTTGTTCCTAAAGGAAATTACAGACAGAAAATTACAAATGCCACACAAAACCCATTTTCTATTTAGTGATAAATTAGCATTCAATTCCAAAACTAAAAGTAAGAACCTAGCAGTGTCCCAAGGTGCAGCCCTGTGTAGAGCCACGTTGTCTGTCTCAGGAGCAGTCAGTGAAGGTGGTCACCATGTTCCCTCTACGCTGGGTCACTGTCTTGCAGTGCTGCTTTGCCGAGCCCTGGAATCTGCTGTCAGCCCTGGAGCTGTGTGTGCTGTTAGGTTATTTTTTAGTTAGATAGATATTCAGAGATTTGTTGTCTAGGAATGTTTAGTGCAGACAGGTTGACTAGCTTAGGCTGTTAACTGTTAGCCTCCTGGTGGACCTGGAAGTGGGTGTCAAAGTGTGTCTTTTGGTGGGCTTGATGTTGGGAGTGGGAGTGAAAGTGGTGTTGCTGAGCAAAAAGGTCATAGTCTTTGAAGATGTCATCAAAGTTGAAGTTGAAGGACTGGAAGTGTTGTCTAAAGTTGTAGTTACCACCTCCTCTACTATGGCTCTCCCCTGGTGATGGACGATGGCCAAACTGGTCATATTCTTGCCTCCTTTTGTCATCTGATAACGTCTCATATGCTGGAAGAGACCAAGATGCATAACATCACTCACAGTCTTGGTTGCCATGACACTGCAAGTGTTTCTAAACATTTTAGCTCAATCTTTGAGCAAAGTAGTGACATGTTTAGCGTTTTATCATAAATTAGACAGAAGTGTCCTGTTTGTCCCCGTTGGAGCTCACCTATTAAACACTTGTAGTAGACAATAAACAGTAGGCTCAAACTAAGAAATGCAGTTTTGCATTTACATTTCTCCACTGCCCAACATTATAGAATGACATAATGACTCCCTCACCCTCTGCTAGTTCTCTGAATTTGGCCTCGGCGTCTGGGCCCTTGTTTCGGTCAGGATGGTACTTGAGGGCCAGCTTATGGAAAGCCTTCTTGATCTGGCGCTCGGTGGCATCTCTGGGCACCCCCAGTATGTCGTAGTAGTCTCTTTTGGCCAGGATGAACTCTGATATCAGCAGAATATGCACTGCTAGCAGCAACACGGACTGCGCTGTGGCCATACTGCTTGCTGGTTTTGGTGCCTTTGTGGCTGAGAAGAAAGTTTGACAGCTCTGTTAATGACGTTTCACACAAACCTGAGTCGCAGGAAAGCTTTTAAAACGGTTTCGAAGTTCACGATCCGGGTACTTAAGTTAAATATTCAGAGAGCAGACAAAATATTTTTATGACTTTAACGTTAATTTGCTGGTTGCTTTCAGTAGAGATGCGATGAGTAAATGAAACTGTTTTAGTAAAACAAAGGAGATACGTAGGTTAAGCCAGCTTGTTAGTGATGCTCTGTTTGTTCTAAGCTGCAGATAAACCATCTATGAAAAGTAAAGTTAATGCGTACAGGAAAAAGGGGGATTACCTGGAGACAGGATATCAAACTGCCTCAGAATACCTCTCTGAGCGGCCGATAGCTACAACTGACAACGAAACGAAAGCTATCTGTTGTTGACGAGATGCATTCCCGAGTGGTAACACCACGACTCACAACGCTATTGGTTGATTTCTCAACACAGTGACTCGGGTCCCTGTGATTGGTCGAGACAATGAGCGCGTGGAGGTGGAGAGTAGGAGATATTCCGGAAAAATACAAGCGAAGCAAGATGGTGATCCTACCTATAATTCTGTCTTTGCTAATCGATAGCTGAGTGAGAACTAAACATAATTTAGCTCACTGAATAAGAATGATGTTATGTGATATATCTGTACTATTTTGATTAATTTTTGCATTAAATATCCGAAGAATTTAAGTAATTATATTGTATTAAATCGCCTCCATGTAGTTGTGCAACTACTTTGTCTCAATGATACGGTAAGTATCTTGATCAACAAACGGCGCAAACGTCATTTCCGATAATTACAACTAGGAAGTGACGACTAATGAGCTGTTTTGTATTTTCAAACATTTAGCTACAAACGTGGGTTTGTACAGTGTTTTCATGTAGTTTCACTGCAGATATGCCACGGTACTGCGCTGTGAAAACTTGCAGAAACCGCGGGGGAGCTGTATCAAGGCAAGACAACAAGAGAATTAGCTTCTACCCGTATGTTTTTTGTTTTGTTTCTGCCGTGTCTCGTGTTGTTGTAGTTCAGCTACACGCGCTCCTTTTCTCTTAGTCCTAGCTCTTTAGTAAGCTATAGTATTTGTTACATATATAGTATAGAATGTGTGCCAGTGTTACTAGAGCGTGATGATACAAGGGGAGAAGGTGTGAATGTGGAGTAACGGTAATGATAACTATGAAACATTGACCAGTTTCAAACCCTTAATTTTACGTTTCCCTCTTCCACCAAAAGGTTTCCTTTGTATGACAAGCCCAGGCTTCAGAAATGGGTGGACAACATGAAACGGGAGGAATGGACCCCAAGTCGGCATCAGTACCTTTGCAGCGAGCACTTCACAGAGGACTGCTTCGATATTCGTTGGGGCATCCGCTACCTCAAGAACACGGCTATCCCGACCATTTTTCCTTCAGCTGAAGATGTAATTGTCTTACAGCACACAAAAAGCCTAAACTCTGCAAAAACTTTACACTCCATGCCTTTTCTTTTTTTTTCTGCAAATAGAATAACAGCTAGTGAAAGAGCATTTTTTCACTCACTTACAAAATTTTAAAGTAAACACCAAGAAGTGTGGTTGTCCAAAGCAAAAAATTTTTGGAGTGTAGAAAACATTTTTTAAATGTTTTTTTCCCTTTGTGTTTCTTTTAACATTCTTGGCAAATGCTTTCGTTTTCGTCCGTCTTGCGCTGGTCCAAGAATTTCACCTCTAGCGGCACAATACGAATGCCCCCGGCCGTCCCTCTTAATCATGGCCCCAGTTCAGAGAGAAAACCCACAAAATAGAACCGGAGTCCTATTCCATTATTCCTAGCTGCGGTATTCAGGCGACCGTGCCTGCTTTGAACACTCTTAATTATTTCAAAGAAATCACTTCAGCTTAATATGAACTCTTGCTGAGGACAAACAGCTCCTGTTCATTTTCATAGGTAGCAAAAAGCAAGTCGACATTGAATACTGATATACTATCTGGTAGTTCATTTTGAATGGATAGTGCAAATTGCCACTATGGTTCAGGGAATTTCAGATTTTATCTGTTGCTTTTATTATAGATAGCTTGTTACAGCTTTGCGACACTGCTTGCTGGATTTCCTGTAATGAACATCTTTTATCTTTTATCTCAGGATGGTGAGAAGAAAGTGGCCACCATTAAAAGGGCCCCCAAAGCCAAACCCAGAACTGTGGATATGGATGCTGAGCCCACAGGATTTGACTCTTCCCTTCTCACTAAGAGGCCTCTCATTTTGAGCAGAACATTCAAAAAGATTCAGTCAAGTACAACAGACGACACTGTTACTGAACATACAGAGATGGTTTTTGATCTACCTCTGGTATTGGGCTCTGGCAGCTCCTGTCATGCAAATCCCTCAGAGATGCAGACTGCTGCTTGTGAGGTATCAGGTGACAGTGGCATGCCAGTGGCATCCTTCTTGGCACTATTCCCGTACAGAGAGTCTCATTCTGAAGTCCAGACCGACTCAACTGTGACTGTGTTGTGTTGTGAATCATTAGACCCTTTCTCTGATGTAGAGACAAGTGTGGATGCAGCTGTCCCCCAAGCAGCACTAGGCGAGGCTTATAGCTTTGTTCCTGTGGAAATTGTCAAAGATGGACCCACGGGCTGCTTTGTGGAGGAGAGGGGACCCAGTGAGGGAGAGCACATTTTTGCTTATGAGCACTCATACTGCCGGCCAGACACAGACAAAGAGCAGTTGTGGAGTAAGATCTTAAGTTTGCATGCAAAGATCATGGAGCTGGATCACAGGGAGGAGAGCACCGTGGCTAAAATCCATGCACTGGAGACTGAGATAGCTCACCTGAAGAAAGATGGGGCGGTTTTTAAAGAGAAGCAGAAAGTTTTAGAAGAATATATTTCATCCATATTGCTCTGATTTTGAAATGAGATTGCGGATGTGCATGTATTATAAATTACCATTGAATCACTTTTGCAGGTATGTTGCACATGCTGCTATACATACTGTACATAAGCACTAATTGTGCCTGATTTTACACAACTCAATTGATGTTTATTCTGCAACATTGCTCAGTTGTAGATCTGATAATTTTATGTCCACATGGTGGTACTGTACAGCCATCTTTATTGAAAGTGTCTCAGATGCTGGAGCATTCCTTTTCAGTGGCTTATTGCTATGCATACATACTGTATCTCTAGTTGCTATTGCTATGCTATGCACATGTCAACATTTTGTTATATGATGTGATCAATATCATATCCTAACTTAATAATGATTCTTTTGCTGTTTTTATTATGCAGTGCCATCAGCCTGTTGTCATTCATCATCTACCCTGTGTTTGACTGTTGTCTTCATATAAAAACATTACGCAGGCTACTATATGGTATGTGTCAGCTTATTTGCAGCTGCAGACCTTTTGCCTAAAATGCATGATGGTTGTATTTATCTGAGCACTAAAACATAGATGGCTTTTAACTTTTTTATAAAATAGATACAACAAAATTGGGTGTTTTTTGTGTGTTCGGGGGGCGGGGTCTCAACGGTTACCATTAGTAACACACTACACCGTCATGGCTTAAAATCCTGAAGCGCACACAAAGTCCCTCTGCTCAAGCCAGCACATGTCCAGGCCTGTCTGAAGTTTGCCAAAGACCATCTGGGTGATCCAGAGGAGGCATGGGAGAAGGTCATGTGGTCAGATGAGACCAAAATAGAACTTTTTGGTATAAACTCGCCTCAGCATTCCCTGGAGTAGCTGGAGGAAGTGTCTGGAGAGAGGGAAATCTGGAAGTCTGGGCATCTTTGCTTAGACTGCTGCCCCCTCGACCCGGTTCAGGATAAGCGGAGGAAAATGGATGGATGGATGGTATAAACTCCACTTGCTGTGTTTGGAGGAAGAAGAAGGATGAGTACAATCCCAAGAACACCATCCCAACTGTGAAGCATGGGGTGGAAACATCATACTTTGGGGGTGCTTTTCTGCAAAGGGGGCAGGACGACTGCACCGTATTGAGGATAGGACGGATGGGGCCATGTATCGTGAGATTTTGGGCAACAGCCTCCTTCCCTCAGTAAGAGCATTGAAGATGGGTCGTGGCTGGGTCTTCCAGCATGACAATGACCCCAAACACACAGCCAGGGCAACTAAGGAGTGGCTCCGTAAGAAGCATTTCAAGGTCCTGGAGTGGCCTAGCTAGTCTCCAGACCTGAACCCAATAGAAAATCTATAGAGGGAGCTGAAACTCCGTATTGCCCAGCGACAGCCCCAAAACCTGAAAGATCTGGAGAAGACCTGTGTGGAGGAGTGGGCCAAAATCCCTGCTGCAGTGTGTGCAAACCTGGTCAACAACTACAGGAAATGTCTGACCTCTGTAACTAAACAAAGGTTTCGGTACCAAATATTAAGTTCTATTTTTCTATTGTATCAAATACTTATTTCATGAAATAAAATGGAAATAAATTATTTAAAAATCTAACAATGTGATTTTCTGGATTTTTTTTTTGTAGATTCTGTCTCTCACAGTTGAGGTGTACCTACGATGAAAATTACAGATTTGTCCATTCTTTGTAAATGGGAAAACTTGAAAAATCGGCAGTGTATCAAATACTTATTTGCCCCACTGTATGTATGGACCTAACAGAAAAAGATGGGCAGCACAGTTGATGACTTGTGACAAACAAATATCTGATATATTATACTGGCAGATGACACAGACCTGCACCACAGTGACATACGGGCCCAGACAGACCAACCTTTAGTGAGCACACCGCTGGACTCCATGCAGACCATAAATGTACAACAGAGCATGGGCTTGAACACACTGGGTATGCCATAATAGTAAATGTAATTTTTATTGTCATGCATCATGTTGGATATCCCTTTTGTGCCCTGCACCTTCCTCTTCATTCCAAAGTACATTGTTGTGCATATTGTTATTTGGAAATACTTCAAAATGACAGCAGACAGGACAAACACTGACGATCCAGCTAATGTAGATTCAGTATTCTGACAATTTGCACTATCTATTCAAAATGAACTACCAGACAGTATATCAGTATTCAAAGTCGACTTGCTTGTTGCTACCTAAGAAAATGAACAGAAGCTGTTTGTCCTCAGCAAGAGTTCATATTAAGCTGAAACAAGTTATTGTTGTGTTAGTGTATTCCAAAAGCAATGCAAATAGACTGAATGCCTTTCTTTCTATTGAGGTTCACGTTTTGTCGATATCAGCGACATCTATTGGCGCAAATAAAGCATTGGCCAATAGGCAACCAGCGTCACTTCGTCTCTTCCTGTTTATTTTTTCTGAGCATCACGATCAGCAATCATAGATATGTTTTACTGTGTACCGGCAGCGTTACTCTGAATAAAGACTTTCGACTGCTTTTTAATAGTTATTGTCTCGCCAGGTAAGAAGACGACATATTGTTTATTGTGTGACATTGTGTTTAATAAACTCAAAATGCACAATTCATTTATTAGAGAAGCTAGCAGTGGCTAATCGGGTTTCGAGGTGTTTATGTGTTAGCTGTGCTTAGCAAGCCGGTTGTCAAACAACATTAACATGAGGTGTTTAGTCCTTTAAATAAGCATATTGTCGAGCATAAACTGATTTGTTTCGAAGTGGTTTGGTAATTAAAATGCAGTCATCTTGCGGGTCTTAATGCTAGTGCTTAGCTAGCATTAAGAATGCAACTTTAATATGTCAGGGGTGATGGATGGTTCCGCAGTGCTGGTTCAAAGGTCCACAGCTCCTCGGAGCAAAGTCTTGCTCTCAGTAACATCCGCCAGCCACTTTTCTCTAAACCTGGTCTTCCCTGGTGTGTGTACTAGCCTGTTTGACTCCACCACGAAGTGCACTTCCACTGGCACAGTTTCAGGTTTGACTTTAGATACGCCCACGACGAAGTAGACGCTAGCTGTTCCCTGAATTGGCTTTTGCGCACTCGGGGTGCTGAAGCGGGCCCGATAGTGGTAGAAAGTATGATAGTCCTCTTCGGCTGTGTAGAGAAAGTCCAGACTGTAGAGCCAGCGGGGCTGCACATCCCACGTCTGAATGTACTGTCCAATCTGTTTCTTTCCCACATCGACTGTGAAGTATTTGCTAGCAACCCAGTTAATGTTACTCATCTCAGTGTGAGGAGAGCTATCCTCCGGCTCCGTTGTGAGAGTGCGGCGGTATCTCTCCAGCACGGTTTTTACAAGAAGAGCTGATTCCGTTGTATAGTTCAGATTAGATGTATGCTCTTCCATCTTGTCCTTTGTCACAATAAACTGCTTGCAGGATATCAGGTAACCGAAGGATTACTTCTTATTTTGTGAAAGATGTTGTTAGCATGCGTTTTGTTGTTTGAGCAGTTTCTATAGTTACCAGAAGGCGTGGCATTAAATGGCGCCCCCTGTTGGCCTACTTTTTACTTGCAAGTTGACTCCTGCAGTATAAAAGGTCTTGTTTTCTATTTCTTGTGCAGACTGTCTTGTGAAATGATCTCCATTTAATCTTTCTTTCAGGAAGCAGTAGAAGAAGCTGTATTGACACTTTCCTTCCAAAATGGATTTAATGCAGAACACACTGTAGCCTGTGGCAGGTATCATGCCAGAACTCAGTAAAATTTTACAGACATAAAGTGTTATACATTTGTTTGATAAAGTTCTAGACTGCTATTCCCAGTGAGCCAGCAGACACATGTCACGGATCAGGACCACACTAGACAGTGTCAGCAAGGCAGTAAGCAGCACAAACCTCATCTCCAAGTTGTCACGCCTGAAGCCTAGTGGTGCTGCAGTCAACAGCACCCATGTAGAAGAAGTTCAGGTCAAAGCTGGGACCCTAACTTCTAATGACACATCTTGTGCTTCACCAGCTCAAACCACAGTGAAAGAAGGAGAAGGTAAGAAGACCATAGTGGAGGAAGAGTCAGAAAAACAACAGCAGGAAGTTTACGAAAAGCCTTTTTCTGCCACAAAGAAATCTACATCCAGTTTAGTTTCAGTGGCATTTGTGTCTACATTGAGCCCCTCCTCCACAGTGGCAAAACAAACTAAGCAGCTGTTTCACCCAGCAGCTCTTTCAACCAATATGGATGAGACTTGCAAAACTCTGACTAAGCACATCAGTGGTTATTTTGGCACAAGCGCACAAGGTCAAGAAGGAGACAAAAGGCCACCACAGCAGCACAGAGGAGGGGATGATCCTCTGTCTGAGCCTGTCATTCAGTCTGCACCTCAGCAAACTGGGGACCACATTCCTATTTCGTCTCCAGTGGCAGAAGCTAAAAGTACAGAAGCACCTACCTCCTCTGTCCCTCCCTCTCCATCAGTAGAGATACCATCTTCTGACACCCCTCAGTTCATCCCTGTGCCTACTGCCTCACCTAAAAAAGGCTTCACCCACTACCTGTCCTACCCTCGACCCAGTGTTCAGGCGTTTGTCGGCAGCTACATTGCACCGCTGGTCCCCAAATTCAGAGGTGATTCCAAAACTCTCACAGCTGTAAAAGATAAATCTTCAGCAGCTGCTATGAAGGAGCCTGCAATGGGGAAGGAAGGTGGAAAGACAGATAGTGAAGAAGAGAAAGCAGATGAAGTAAAACAACACCTGCTGTCTCAAAGAGAGAAGGTAAGATGCTCAGAATGGCTCTCATGAACACTCGAAGTCCAAATAATCATGATGTGTAAAGAATGTGTTGTCAAAATGTGTTAATTTTAGTACTTTAACTGTTTAAAACTATTAAAATAAAGCTTGTGTATTTTTTCAGATTTTTGTTATATGGTTCTAGTTTATTGTTCACTCTGTGTATTTGTCATGAAGATAATAGCCAGGGTGAGTGTAGACAACAGGACCAGAAATCTAGTGAAAGGCCTGCAGAGGGTCACTGATGTCAAACTCCTCACTACTCGAGTGGAGGAACTCAGCCATCATCTCCTTGAATTCCCAGAGACACGAGGTGTAGCCATCAAGGTAGGTGTAGGTATCATTTCTACATGTCCTACAAATGACAAGAATCTTAATGAGCAGCACAGCCTTTGAGTGTTTTTTTCAAGTGGGAAATTTAGCGTGCAGTTTGTCTCTGTGTAACTCTGACCATCAGGAAGGTGTGCTGCCCTGCCTGCTGCGTTTATGCCAGGCCAGAGATCTTCCTCTTCAGGCTGCTGTGAGAGAAGCACTGGCCCTGGTTGGCTATATCAGCCCAGTCAAAGGCAAAGGAATTCGGATACTGTCCATAGATGGGGGTGGAACAAGGTCTCTTAGCAAAACAAACTATAAATAATTTAGTTTCAGTAATATTTTCATCTAAAAAATGAAATCCTGTCCCTATTTGTGATTAATATAAAACCACCTTTTTTTACATTTGTTGTTACAAGTAGAGACTAATGTTTTTCTACCACATAGAGGAATACAAAATAACAGCTACTCTTACAGAAAAACTGCAAAGGACTACCTCTGTATGTTTATAAGAAAAAATCAAATATAATAAGCTGCAGTTTCATCAGACTAGGTTTATAAACTGTGTGACTTTGTTACAGGGGGGTGCTGGCCCTGCAGACTCTCCATAAACTGCAGAACCTGACTGGCAAACAAATCCATCAGCTGTTCGACTACATCTGTGGAGTCAGCACAGGTATGCTGTCGTCACTGTTCAGTGTCTGGAATTTCTTGTCCTTTCACTGTTGTCCAACAGCAGCCCTCACCGACCCCACATGGGAGTTTATGTTAATTTTCTATACTGTCCTTAGTGATGGTGAGATGAGGCCTCATTTCCGAAGCAGAAAACACTATTCAGTAACAATGTATTAGTTCTAATCACTTTTTGGCAAGGAGAATACAGCATTTTTCTGGTTGTACTGGATCCGTAGAGGTACTTAAATGGGTGGTTTAATACACAGAATCAATCAGTAGAATAATTGCAAAGTGGAACTTAAAAAAAAAAAAATTATATGTATAGCCCACATCAGCAATGTTAGTGTAGTTTCCAAATATAATAGGTTCTATGGAGAAAGTATATGAAATTCATTTAGTTTGCACATAGATATCCTTTTTATGAATACATGGACAACAGGGTTAAATATTTTGCTTCTGAAACTGGCTGGGTAACAACATATTATATAGCAGGTCATAATTAAAACACTGTAGCAGAAAGAAGTCGACCTCTGTCACAGGCATATGTTACTAAAACCACCTAAGTCCTGCCTATTGCACATGAGATATATAGTACATCAAGCAGACTGAAGAATGTCTGATTGCACTCTAAACTGCTACGGCTTCTTCTGGCTAAAATTGTGATCGTTCTGTTAGAAATTCCTCAAAACCTATCATTAATTGTTTACACTTTTACATTTTGATACAAAACTGTTTGATCATGACAAAAGCAGCTGTATGCAGAGCTAAACCAGCTGATGTATGTTTATAGGCTGCATGCCCACCTTCATTTGTCAATGAGTTTCTGGCAGACAGTCACTTTTTGCACAAAACTGGTAAAATGAGGTGCTGGTTGACACCTGTCACGTGACAAACTGGGAAATGACACAAACTTCAAAGCGAGGCTTTGTATGGAAATGCCCCCTCTGGCTCAACACAAGTTTTGAAGCTTCAGTTTCACTTGTAACATCACTACTGTGTCATGCTCAGTGACGTATCACACTTCATGGTCTTTGCTTTAGGTGCCATTCTGGCCTTCATGCTGGGAATTTTTCAGATCCCCTTAGAGGAGTGTGAGGAGTTGTACAGAAAGTTGGGCTCAGATGTGTTCAAACAGAATGTCATCGTTGGTACCGTCAAGATGGGATGGAGCCATGCTTTTTATGACAGCGAAATGTGGGAAAACATCCTCAAGTTAGTGTGCAGCACTCTTTTCCTCCTCCTTTTTTCATCTTATTTAATTCCTTTTCTCCCATAATCCTATGTTCTTGTGTGTTTCTTTTAGAAAACGAATGGGTGAGACGAGTATGATTGAGAGTGCCAGAGACCCCCACTGTCCTAAAGTAATTCACATTTCTTTTCTCAGCTCTACACTATATGACAAATACTGTCTTTGTGCCTCTTTAATCCTGTGAACATGTGTGCATATATACACAGTCAAACAGGTGGACACAGATTTCAAATCTTACAATTTAAGGTGTTCTCATGGTTTTATTTCATATCTTTGGTTGTTGTCTTTTGTCCTCTGAGCACTTAAGTAGGGCTGTCCCCCTAACAGTCGACCAGTCGACTGAGACACTTAAAGCCGAGCCTTTGTTTGTATTTTATTATGTTTTATTTTTTTGTCAGCCAGTGTGCATTACAATAGAAGGTAGCCCCAGACCCCATTAGTTTGTCATCATCTTCTCCTCATTTTGCCAAGCAACAATCTGCTCAGTAAGGGGGATACCCACAGTGACACTGTCCGATACATGGATGTACATTAAGGTTGTATTTATTTCGCAAATTGCAGAAGGAGGAGGAAAAGGCAACTAAACCCACTAGGACAAGCCACATAAATGTGAGATTTGTACTTTATTAGAAGGGTTTTCAAATCTCATGGAAAAGTCTATCACAACAATGTGGCTGGTTTTGCATAGCCTAATGTTGTGGGGGTCCACTTTGTTTAACCACCTCCGTTAAAGTATGATGCACAGCCGTTTACAGACTGTTTCTGCAACATACATACGTCCAAAGGGGACTAAGAAGCTAACAAAAATGTGTGTGGAAAACATTTCAGTGATGATTAATAAATAAGAGGAATCATTCACAGTGCAAGATGACACACATGAAACGCACAGTAACAACATGCACTGTGGTGAACTAACAGGAGAATGTTAAACTTGTTGGTAAACTAGGCTATAACCATGTCTCAGAAGAAAAAATTGCTTATATGAACATTGTTTCAACAGAAATACAAGCATGCTCTCTGTCTCGTTATTCCGGCAAACCATATGGCAGTCCGACATTATATATTGTAATTTTAAATAGGTCGCAATTTAAATCTTGCATCATATGCGGCTGTCTTTTATTGATTTTTAAATGCTCAGAAATATGTTCCTGTCACTCTTTTTATATTTAAATACCAATTTTTATGTGGTCTAAATCATCACTGAAATCCATGCCAGTTGATTTTCTGACAGTCTAGGCTATATATATTTAACAAAAGAAAGACAGAAAAAGAATGAACGGTCAAATACTCACACTGAAATGCTAACCGACAGTCAATTGACAAAATCCTTATGCTGGTACAGCCCTACACTTAAGGAAACAATAGTTTGTGAAACCCTTTAAAAATAGTGGACTTATATCTTCAATTCTTGTCCACCAGGTAGCAGCAGTGAGCACCATTGTGAGCAGGGGTTTGCCTCTAAAGGCCTATGTGTTCAGGAACTACAGACTCATGCCTGGAGTGAGATCCCACTACCTTGGAGACTGCAAACACAAATTGTGGCAGGCTATCAGGGCCTCCTCTGCTGCTCCAGGCTACTTCCAGGAATTTGCCCTGGGGAAAGACCTCCATCAGGTATAACATGAAACTAGAGGTTTAGTTATTTGAATTTAAATATTGAGACTTGAGGGAGAATATTCAAAATTGTTTCAGTATTAACAGAAAGTTATATTGGTGTATATTGCCAGGGTAATCAGAGAAGTCACATCTTAGGGTCCAGTTCAGTGTGACGGTGCAATTTTGTTGAAATGTTTGCTAATCAGTACACTTCCACTATGATGCTTCATTTCCTAAAGGACCAGTGCCATGGACAGAGGTACTGTGGACTGCAGTATGCTAAATGTGTTTGTGTGTGTGTGTGCGCATGTGTGCATATCAAGAATTTGTGTGAAAATTGTTTTGCTGTTTCAAACCCGCAATCTTGAGGCGGTCGCTTAATTGGCTCATTCTGTCTTCTGGAGTCCTTTGGCCAAGTCTGTGCCCCTCAAATGTCAAAGGCCTTGATGCCTTTGTGACTGCTGTACTGGAGGGACATGGAAAGAGCTTTTGATTCCTCCATAAAAGAGAATATCCATCACGGCTCCTCTCTGTCACCACCGTCTGAAAGGATATTTGAGGTGGTCCAAAATGGGAAAAATACATATGTGTGTCAGTCAGTGTTGATAATGGCCTAGTTGATGTGAGCAGAATTTAATACTGAACGTTTAACTAATGCCATAATGCATTAGGTAATGGATGTTAGCTCCTTTTCCCTTTGCCTCACAGAGACAGACAGAAAAGGGTGAGTGAAAGAGTAGGAGGTAAGCAAATGAAAATCAGACTGTTAAAGTTCATGTGCTGTTGCAGTGAGTATAATTTTGGATAAAAGCATTGGACAAATGACCACAGTGTAAGTAGCATTACTTTCTACTGCTATGTGTTTTTAAACTGCTTGGGTGTGCCTTTTGAGGGCTGTCCAAATAGTTGTTTTAATTTATTTTATGAAGTGATAATTATTATGTCAGATATCATGAGATTGTCTTTACTGGCAGCAATTATGCCAAGGCTTAGCCTCATTTTGATAACCTACTTAAGTAAATTTAGACTTGTCCCTCATTCTAAGAAGTTTTGATCTCCCCTGCCATTTCCTAATGCAGGAATCCCAGTAGCTGGCCCTTTGCCATGTTTTAGTCATTAACAACCTAATATCCAATCCCATTGTGTGTATTTACCTTGATTCTCCTAGGCACTTAAAATTAAAACAAACAACTGTTGTTTTGTTTGTTTGTTTTTTCTCTCCCTGAAAAGCTTTTTTGGAAATTAATTTAGCAAAACAGCTAATGTAACCTTTAGTCCCAGAAAGCCATGTTTGCTAGTTTTTCTATTTGTGTTACAAAACAAATATCTGATCATATTATGTGACAAGTAAGCAGAAATTCAATCTAATATGATCTCTGCATTCGTGTCCCAAGGATTCGGCGATGACAGCAGAGATGGAAAGATGGAATGTGAAAGAGCTATATGCCCATGTGTTGTTTTTCTTACATTCCTCTTGGAGCAACATGGTGTTTCGACAGTTTGAGCTACCACCCACTAGTCTCACTCCTACTCTAGTTCTCAGCACTAGCAGTGGTATTTCTCAAGAGAAGTCTGCCATTGCAGGGCATCAGAAATATATCTGTTATGCACACACAAACACATTGGAGAGAGGTGCATTTATAGAGTTAGTGTCAAGTTAAAGCTGAAATATTTGTCCCTGACTTGCTGGTATTTATTATAGCAGTCAGTTTTTAATTACACCATCCAGTATGGCACAATGATTTCTCTGCATTTGGATGTTGAATTATATCAGCATTGTATTTATGTGTTGCAATTATAGCCATTCATTCAGTTAGGTGAGGCCCTGGGGTGAGAAGTTGAAGGTCAGTGCTGGGGAGCAGTTCTGAAATTAACCCGCTGTCTCAGGAGTGCAATGTCCCTTCCATTGTTTCAGTAGCTTACACCTGTTTTATGATTGCTTTACAATTAGGTTACGAAAGATTTCTGTTATTCTGTACTGTGCCTTGATGTTACCAAGGCAGCAGAGTGCACAGATGTTTGAATCTGAAGTCTTTTAGAACAAAATGTAAAGACTAAGCAGATATTTTCTTTAGAAAAGGAAAAGTGTCATTTTTATTTCCCTATGTTCATAAAATCACTTTAAAAAGATACAGGGTAACTAACAGAGTGTTTCTGGTACATTTCTTCTGTTTCTGAAAGTCATTAGCACCTGTTTTTATTTGTGTTTTCTCCTCTGGTTGCTGTTGATTGACATCTTCCAGTGGCACTTAGTGGTTGAAGAAGGATTTAGGCTTTTAGTTACTTTTTTTTTACTGCCCACTCCCCTGTAGAGGTGTAGAAATAACATTTTACCCTTGCTCAGCTAGGGAGGGTTATGTGCCACAATCTCCACTTCTATTAATCCAAGCCAAAAGCACTTGAGTGGTTGGAATAGGTCCAGAACTGGATTTAGAGAAAGACTGAAAAAGAAAAGGGGCACTAAGTCGGTCTAAGCATCCATTCAGCTTGATTGTCCCTTTTATCTTAATCTCGTTGGCATCATTTCAGTCAGAAACTGGTCAATCTGGTGACATTGTTTAGTGAAAGACAGTAGCACATGCGTAATAAGAAAAACCATAATTAATAATCCATCCATCCATCTATTTTCCTC